TGCACGTGAGAAGCCATTTACGCTAATTCAGGGTTACAAATTCAACTTGGTTGTGCATTTCTTCTTGTGAAACCATTCATTCGTTATCTCGAAGTTATGTGGGGTTGTTGTCATCATGCCAGGCAAAATTGAACATGATGAAATGTGATCAAGAACTACGACTAAGGCTATTTTGCGAAACAAAACAAAACGAGACGAAGCCAAGCGAGATATAGAAAAACTAAAAGGAGTAATGCAGATATATTTTGTAGTAAGGTAAAGATAACTTTCACGAGGATTTTGGAGCAATCGTTAATTAACAAGGGGGTTTGTTTTTTCAATTGGCAAAGTAATTTAAGAAGAGTTATTATTTTGCGAAATCGACTAGTAGTCCATTTCGCAAAATAGTATCTCACCTAAAATTACTATTGGCGAAATATATCTAAGTACGGTTTAAGAAATAAGAGGAAACCAAAATCTTTGGTGAAACACTAATTTGTTTTGTTTAGATGTATTTTTGTGACATGAATAAGAGGTCGCGTTGTCACCGCAGGGTGAAAATAGTCGATTCCGCAGAAGAGTAACTCTTTTGAAATTACTACTTTGCGAAATGAATAAAAATCCTTCTTATCAAATGACGATTACTCCATAATCCTTGTGAAAGCTATCTTTAACTAATTAGAAAATATTTCAGTCTGCATTATTCTTTTCGTTTCTTTATATCTCGCCTGGTTTCGTTTCGTTTCGCAAAATAGAATAAGCCCAAGAAAACCTTCAGAGCTGCTAAGGCAAAATAAAAATCTACTCTGATCCCTGGCTTGCATGCTTCATTGGGTTTTTAACGATCTGGCCCTGATGTGGATGTCTTTAATGAGCTGTTTGGTATCCTTGTAGTAATCCCCCTCAGTTTTACTTTTGATTTACGTGCTTAATTCAGAGTGTTGCCTGATTTTCACTCTTTTCAAAAAACTGGAGCCCTTGTTTAAACTGGAGCCCTAATAATTTAACACGTATTTTAAGAAATTCCGTCGTTGAAATAATTTTGGTGAAAAAAATTTAGTAAACTTACTCACTGGTTTGATGGGGAGAGGTGGGAGAGGTGGGGAGTCCCCAGACCCTCCCCCCTCGAGTTGTCACTGAAGATTCAGCTAAATTTGAATTTGATGTCTGCTCCCTGCCCATCTTCGTTGTCTCTATACATAAAAACTTGCACATTTAAGGTTTTGTTCCTTAAGACTTGTGCGTGAGTTTAAGCCTATCCACAACTTGATGCTTTGTTTAAAAATCTAGTTCGGTGACAAAAACTAAATGAATAAATGAAATAAATAAAGTCACGAATAAAGGTCCCCTGAGAAAAACGAATACGAAATATAAGTGAAAGTAATTAGAAGCACATAAGGGAAACTTGCAAACGCGACACTCAAACTCACATCAGCGCCCGCCCAAGGAAATGAGCATTTGCAAATATAAAAATACGAACACAAATTAAAGGTTAATCTAATAATGGTGACATGGACAAGCCCTTGAGATTAACCACGATTATACTTATATACTTTATACTTTATTATTAAGTTTGCAGGAAAATCTTTGTACAATAATCACCTCCTGCAAATAGCGAGCTAATCTAGGCAGGCGGTGTTAAGGACATACAACACGAATTACAAAAACACGAATTATGCAAATTACTTGATTTTGCATACATTATTTGACAAAAGAGGGAAAAGGTGATAAAAAGTAAATTAATATATTATGTTTGAATTATAATTAAGATGCCTTTTTTATTTCAGAAATAAGAGTGCTAGTGTCATCATAACTATCCAGACTTCCTAGAGTTGCAAATAGTAATGCTTGAATTTTCTTTTTGAATATGTGCTTCGGCAGACTTCGATAGCTTTCGGGAATACTGTTCCAAATTTTAGCCCCAACGATAGAAAAAGAGTTTTTATGATGATTAAGCCTAGAATAGTTAATATAGTAGTTACCAGAAGATGCTGATCGGGTATTATACTGATGTATGACTTGTGTAGAAATAAAAAGATTGCAGATATTTTTAGGTGCAGAGTTAGTGGTTATATCAAGCATTAAGATTGATGAAAGTTTGAAGTAGAGCATTGTTATTGGCAGGATGTTAGATTGCGCGAAATATGGAATCGCATGCGTTCTGAAAGGCAGAAAGTAGATCAAGCGAACAGCTCTCTTTTGGAGTATAAGAATTTTTTCTAAATAAGATTTGGAGGCTTGGCCCCAGGCAATGAGGCCGTAAGATATATAGGGAGAAATTAAAGAATTATAAATACTTAGAAGTGTTTTTAAGGGGACAAAGTGTCTTAGTCTCGAAATAATTCCAATATTTCTGCTGATTTTTAAAGCAATATAACTAATGTGATGTTTCCAAGATAAATGTTGATCAATTATTACCCTAGGTATTTAACATGATCCTTACGTTCAAGATCAAAAAACGTTTTAGTGCGGCTATCATAGGCCTTAATGCGGATGTTAAAATTAATGCGTTTTTGATATGGATGAAAAATTATATAGTTTGTTTTCTTAATATTTAACGAGAGTTTATTAGCGATTAACCAGCCGACAACCTTAAATAGTTCACAGTTGATGATAGTTTCGAGAGATTTTAAGTTTTTATCAGCATATAAAAGGTTAGTGTCATCAGCAAAGAGATAAAAGGTTAGTTTGTCAGAGGCCATGTAAATGTCATTTACATAAATAAGAAACAGTAGGGGACCAAGTACACTCCCCTGAGGAACGCCGCAAAGGGTAATTTCCTTTCTAGATACGTGGGAACCAACTTGCGTGGTTTGGATTCTATTTGACAGATAGGAGGAGAACCAATCGTTTACTATACCACGAATGCCGTAGTGGGATAATTTATGAAGGAGGATAGAGTGATTGACAGTATCAAATGCTTTTTGAAGGTCAATAAATACACTACAGGAGAACATTCCCTTGTCCATGTTTGATTGAATTTTGTTAACAATATCAAGGATTGCATGCTCGGTTGAGCGCTGTTCACGGAAACCGTACTGAGACTTATAGAATAGGTTATGTTTGCTAAGAAAGGACTTTAGGCGGTTGTACATAATTTTCTCGAAGAGTCTATTAAAGACCGAAAGAAGTGATATTGGACGATAGTTCCCCGGTTCAGCTTCATCCCCATCCTTAAATATTGGAATGATCTTGGCATGCTTAAGTTTGGAGGGGAAAATACCCCTTTGAACCGAGTTGTTTATAAGAGTTGCCAGAGGGGCTGATATAATATGACATGAACATTTAAGTAATCGAGTTGGACACGAGTAAAGTCCATGGGACTTGTTTGTTGGCGTAAGCATTATTTCAAGCTCGATTTCAGAAGAAAGAACAGAGTCAAACACAAAAGAGCAGGAAGGAACATTTAATGGGAGGTAATCACGAAAAGACTTATCGCTACTTGGTAGATCAGAGGCGAGACGGTTTCCAATAGAAGCAAAATGGCGGTTGAGTATATTAGCATTTTCTAGGGGATCATGAGATATCCCCTGGTTTAAAGGGCGTTTCATTGCCGCAATCACCTTCGCGTTGTTCTTTTTACGGTTGATCAAATCATTAATCCCTTCCCAGGTCCGCTTGAGGTTCTTTGTATTGTTTTGGAAATAATTATGGAAGTAAATTTTTTTACTAAGACGAGTTAATGTTGAGATTTTATTTCTATACATCTTAAAGAGTTTAATATTACCCTCGTCAAGAAGTTTATTTTTCATTTTAATGGATTTTCGAATTCCTTTTGTAATCCATGGTTTAGAAAAAGATTTGAGCTTCCGCCGGGATATTGGTTTTAATGGAGCGTGCTTATTGATCAATTTATTTAATTTATTGTAAAAAGAAGAGAAAGCCTTATCGATATTAGTTTCATTACGGGAGACTATGTCAACCCAATCAATACGTGACAAGTCGTATATAAAATTTTCTTCAGAAAATTGGCAAAAATCGCGCGCAAGAGGTCTATCGGGTTTGCCTTTGACTACAAGCGAGCTTGTTAAACAAAACTGCGAGAAGTGGTCACTAATATCAGAGATTATATTGCCACTAATGATATTCTCATTAAATTTGTTTGTAAATATATTGTCGATTAATGAGAAAGAATTTCTATGCACACGAGTTGGTTTGTCGATACAAGGAGTTAAATTAAGGCTCTGGAGAGTTAGAAGAGAATCTTGTGCATAGTTGCAAGAATCAAATTAAAGGAAAGGAGATTACAGGCTTGCCAGTGCCTATAAGGTTTTCTGCGGTTTCCTCAAAATACTTTAGGAAAAGCTCAGATGAATTATGCTGACGATATAACACTCCGCAGATTATGTTTGCTACATTTGTTTGAAAAATTTCAACCCATAATGCCTGAAAAGCTTCGTTAGAGCTTTTCTCTAAAACTGTGTATCTTAACTCTGAATCAATATACATGCCGACGCCACCCGCTGAAAGAGGTGTCGGGACGTATTCAAAAGTGTAACCTGGAATTTCAGAAGATTGAAGTCCATAGAATTTGCATTTCTAATTCTGGTTTCGGTTACTCCAATAACACTGAAATGATAATTAAGTTCATCGAGCAAATGGGTTTGGAAGTTTTCGAGATTACCTTTTAAGCTGCTAACATTGTTATGAAAAAAAGATATATGACTATCAGAACGTTATTCATTTAACTGATTTTTTAGCTGACTAAAACTATACGGGGAATAGTATTTACAGCGGATAGGATAAATAGCAGAGAAATCTGTGTCGTAAAATTTACTGTTAACAGAGTTCAGACTGAAGATATCAATGTCATATAGGCTAGGTAATCGTTCAAGATATTTTTTAGAAGGAAGGTTGTCGTTTGTTAAGAGATTATTATATTTGCCATGGCACTGGATTATGGAGCTCTGCCCACGGTACGGTAATTCAAGGAAGAAAGCTTTATTTTGCTTACTTCGGTTGAAATCGGCATTGCTAAATATTAGAGCACTGAAATCTTCTAGTTACAGTCATACAAATACTTAGCTGAGCGCTTCCTGTTCATCTTGGATGATCCGAGAGAGATCGTCAGGGCAACGGACTTTTAAAGAACGTGAATCTTCTGATCTGCGAAGGAAAATGGTTCCGTTTTTGACCCAGCAGAACTGAAAACCAAACCTGGTCTTGAATGACTTGGCGTTCCCGTACAACTCCTGCATTCTCGGTGTAAGATGGTCAAGGATTAATATTTTGGACATGTCCTGACTCTCTTCTAAACCAACGTCTCGAGCCGCCACACTCGAGGCATGCCTTCTCGCCGCCATGACATTATTTCTCGCGAGTCTCCTTACGAATTTGCAAATGATTGGTTTGGGGTCGGAGCGAGAAGAGTCACGAAAAGGGACTCTGAGAGCGATATCGATGTCGTCAATAGTAATGTTAGCGCCCATGTGGTTGAACAGATTAACGCAAAGATTACTGGTTTCGGAGGCGTCTTCATTAGCTTTTAGCTCAGGGACTCCGAGAATTTTGATGTTGAAGGCGTAGCTATAATCTTGTATCCCGTTCACGGCAATCTCCAGCTTCCCGAGGTTTTCCTCGATGTCGTCAAGTCGTTTCCGAATACCATGCAGCTCGCTCTGGAAGCTTGACTCAGAGTCATGCAGCCATTCTAAGCTCCTTTCCGTCTCCAGTTGGGCTTCCCGTCCGCCATTAGCTTCTTCTCTGACAACCAACTCTTGAGCACCAACTCGCTCCTCTAGTGATTTTATATCACGTCGAGCAGAATCGAGCATTCTCTTTAGATCCTCATTACTTTTCCTAAGCGATTTGACTTGTTGATGTGACATTATAAGTGCCTAAATTGACTTTCTTGAACGCTTTAAGCAGAGCTTCAAAAATGTTCCACAAATAGACCAGGCTTAGTTATTCACAGGGCGGATAACGCTATCCAACGGATAAATCGTGAAAACGTACTGCAGTATCTACCGGATAGAGATTTATCCAGTGGATAGTGTTTTCCACCCTTCGAACAACCGGGGCCAGGTTCACCATAAAAACTCGTACTAACCACGGTAATTATTGACAATAAGTGAGCATGTTATGGTTGCTTCTAGCGATATGCTTTGCTACTGCTATAAGTCGGTCTGGATTAATCCTACTGAAGTTATAAAAAAAAACGCCTCTTTGATGTCGTCATATTTAAATCATGTTTTGTTACCTCGCGATATAAACCATCTTATCCCTTGGCTTTTACTTTCATCTCGGTGCGTTTTAGTGAGTAGTGATGGCCTCATAACGTGTGCCAGTCGACTCCATCAGCATAAGAGGCATGTTGGCCATTCAATTACAATCCGTTTAGATTGGACGCATGGCATTTGTTGTACCACCAGGCCCCTTTGTGGAGCTGGGCACAGCTTGCATTATTTAGATCACTATCTTGATCTTTCGTGGAAAACTGCATATCGCTGGAATAAGAATAAAACTTATTTCACCTTCTTTCATTTCTGTCTAGCTATTGAGGAAAGATATTTTCTCTTAATACTTACAAAACCAATTCTGCTTAAGGGAACTACTTTGACAAATTGCTTTAAAGAAAGAATAAAGAAACGCGAGAGAGAAGACAGAGATAAAGAGGTAGATTTATAATACAGTCATGGAGTAGAATAAAATAGGAAAGATTAGAATGCAGTAGTTTAGGATAGGACGCAATGAGATAGAATATAATGATATCCTCAGTGAAAATAAGTTTGTTTTGGCCAAGGAAATTAAAGTCACAAAAAGTTTCAAGTGCGTGTTGGCTGTCCTTAATGTAAGATAGTAAAGTTTTGACCATAGTTACTATAATTTCGTCTAAATAGCTGAAAATAAGTTGGATGGGACAACTACCTACAGAAACTTATCAAGGAGCTACGCCACGAAATCGTAAGTTACCTTGTTCCTTTTCCTCCTATTAGTAAAGATCTAGCATTCCGTTAAGCCATTCTTATCGTAGCCACATCCATTTCATTAGCCGTTGCCTTCATTCCAAAGTTATTCTTAAGGGGTTTTCGCTCCAATTTTCACGTATCTTCTTTTTCTCATTCTAATCAATGTCGTCACCAAATTCAGTGCGCTCACAATGATTTTCACGTCAGGTGATACTATGAGAATCACAATCCGAGGTATGTGCCAAAAACGTAACGAACTCAACGAAAAAATTCTACATTGCCACTTTGAACTTTCCAAAATATGTCCAGCTGTTTAAGTACAATCTATTTGTGCCAAAATTCAGGATGCCATTTCTAAACCTTTTTAACCATTTGCACCAAATTAAGGCCCAAAAACTCGACCAACTTATCTGCCCTCAAAATACTAGCGACTCATCGCCTGAAAGCCTCAAAACTGGAATTAACATTCCAGAAAAATTACCATTTTCGGATTCAGAAATATCAGTTCTCAGTTAGGGCTTAAATTTTGTTCCCATTTTTAAAAAAATCGATAAATTTTCAGTCAAGCAAGACCTTAAAAAATTCCTTCGCCGCGTTGAATTGAAAGCTATTTTTTCACAACAAAGAGGACGATTCCTCGAACAAAGATACTTTCGAAACACTTCAGATTCGAAAGTGTAAAGGGACTCCCCCAGAGGGCCAGTTCGCATCTTTAGATTTTTTCGTTAAAAAATATCGCCACGATATTAAAAGACTCAAATTCAATCGTAACACCAAATTTCTCACTTTCATCGATCAAAACATTGTCAAAAACACTGTTAACGATCTTACAGCTAAATAAGAATTGCTCGCCACTGCAAAATATCTCACCATCAACACTCATAGAACTTCGTGTATTTACTTTTTTACCTAAAATCCACAAACCTGACCGCCCAGGCCGACCCATCTTTTCTGCCTGCAGTTGTCCACCGAAATTATTTCCAGCTATTTAGACAAAAGTATGGCACCTACGTCAAAACTTATCTATCTTACATTAAGGACAGCCAACAAACACTTGAAACTTTTCGTGACTTTAATTTCCTTGGCCAAAACAAACTTATTTTCACTATGGATATTACATCTCTTTATACTCATTCCCAACGATAAAGGTCTACTGACCCTGAAACATTTTATCCATCGATGCATTGTTAGGGAACCTAGCTCTGAAACACTACTCCGTCCAGCCGAACTAGTACTTATACTTAGTTTCTTTTCACTCGGTGGCAACTAGTACAAACAAACTAATGGCGTAGCTGGCATGGATACAACTATGGGACCCAGCTTAGCCAATCTTTTCGTAGGTTTTATCGAACACCAATTTTTTAGTCAATACCACGGCCCCAAACTTGAACATAATGGCCGCTACATTGACAACTGCATCGGCGCTACCTCCTCTGCCAGAGAGGAGCTCACTCAATTTATAACCGCCGTCAGTTCCTTTCACCCAGTTCTTAAATATACTTGGGAAGTTTCCGACAGTTCTTTGGCTATTCTAGACATCAAGATTTCAATTGAAGGCAACGTTCTATGCACCAGTGTTTACAACAAAGATATAGGTACTTGTTGTATTCATCTTCGCATCCACCACACGTCAAGAATTCCTTACCGTGCCCAACAAATCTATCGACAGTCAGCATTACAAACGGCTGAGATGGAAAACACTGATTGCATTCCATTCACACTCACATTTCACCCTCAGTTTGCTGCCTTTCCCTACATGTAGGGAGTTCAGAAAGCCGCAAAACTGTAGAACAAAAAAAATTATCTTTCAAATCGGCATACTTAATCTCCATGGTATCGACGAGTGCTTTTCATTCAACCGATTCATTCTTGTTTTCTCGTCACGGAGGAAAGCGTGCGTGATCTTCGACCAATAAGAGCCTTCCTGTTTACGCTCCACCGCTACTATCACAGATTTATAATATTTTCGCCACTGCAAGTAAATGTCGCGAGAACAATAGGCATTCTGCCCAATGACCTCCACGATTCCTATGACCTTTCAGTTTCAGAGGCAACTTCACTCTCAAAGAATGTCAAGAGAGAAGATAAGAGAAAAAGGTGCATGAGACTTTTCTTAAAAACTTTTTGGTTGATCATTAATTCGGCCCAAAACAAAGAGAGAGAACCTAACACATTCAATACCAATGTACTTCTTAGCTATTTATGTTACCTATGATACATGAAGGAGTCTCTCGCTGTGCCATTGTATTCTTCGAGAGTGAGTCTGTAATGATCAGCTTCGTGTGCCACCTTAAATGTATTGTACTGAGCGTATGTGATGTTCTCCTCAAAGTCCTCCAAGTCAACTCTCAACATGACATCATTAACATCCGTCAAACGGTGAAGATTGTCGTTTCCGAGCCAGAACTCGCCGCTCAAACTTCCGAACCCTTCTTTGTAAGCTTTCCAGTCACGATGGAAGTCAACAGGGCCGTCCAAACGTCTCTGGAAAACGGTCCAGCCTCCACCGTCCGTGGTCATGTCACACAACACTCTTATTGGTTTACCGCCATCTGGATTGATTGTGTACACGCCATTGGAAGTGAAACCATCTTTAAGTAGTTAGGCGCAGCATTTTGCTTCCGTTTTTATAAGAAAAAGAAATAATTCATAGAGCTTAAAGTAATTAATTGACCAGAGTGGATAAGCTATACTGAGTCTTTTTACTTGATCCAAATTGGGATACTTAAGACTTCACGCACGCACTCAGCCAATATAAAGTGGCAAACTAGTGAAAGCGTTAGACATGATACTCACCGCATGGTTTTCCTGTATATCCAGAAGCATAACAACATTTGCATTCTGCAGTGTTGTCTTTATAGTTGGGAACACAGATCTCGTTTTCTATGCAAAGGAAAGAGTTGACCTCACAATCGCTCTGTTAAAACAAAAGGACCTGACTACTTAAATTAAAATAAAAGTACCCTATGAATTGATTGATTGATAGACTTTTAAATTTGCACGTGTTTCATATTCTCAGATTGAATCAGATCATAAGCTTCTAGACAAGCCAACATTAAGTTCCTTGACTAGACTAACTCTCAGGGTTTTAAAATAACTGAGGGCAATACGTTACCTTTGCTCTGATATCTCCAAATTGTAAGACGTTCTAGTCTTCTCAGATAAGGACGATCGAGTATCACTGAATTGTTCTGAAATCTGCCCACCGGTGGGCTTTAAAGAAACAAGGGATCACTTCTCTATCGCAAGAGAGGGAAAAGTATCAGTAGAACAGCTTTAGATCACGAGACTCAAATTTTTTACAAGCAGCTACATATCGGCATCATATTTTCTAAAGTAAAGTTAAATCAACCAAGCAAACTTAATGTTTTCGCTGCGTACTTTTTGGCTTGCTATGGATTACACCCGTAGTGCATTTACAGCGGATAATGTTTTGAATAAGATAACCAAATGTATTTCTTGTTTTAACGACTGAGCGACACCCAGACACAAATCAAGACAAACGGATGTCATTTTTAGACCTTCCAGAAGCATTCGATTTCGTAGCCCATGAACGATTGTTGCCTTAGCTAAAATGGCATGGAATAGATTGACCTCAGTCTACTATCTTGGTGTAAAAACTTTTTTGGCTGCCCAAAACGTGTCGTGGTGCGTGGCATTGACTCTTCCTGGACCCGAGTATTATCTGGTGTTCCCCGTGGCACGATCCTTACTCCTATTCTCTTCCTAGCATGCGTCTATGAAATGTCATCAAACATCTCCCACACTATTTATAAGGTTAGTGTCCGCTGATGACATTTAAAAATAAAAGGAACTGGAAAACGTAGAAAAAGAAAAACAGGAGCCACAATTCGATATCGATGAGCTAGCAGCATGGACTAAGAAATGGAATTTGCTCTTCAATTTTGACAAGCTAGAAG